CTCCCTCGGTGTCTGGGACTCCACTTTGGGTTTTAGCTTAAGGCGCCGGCCGTTCGCGCAACCCCTCTTCAAACCGGGAGAGCAGCCGCCCCTCCCGTGCGGACCGGGATCCCTTCCCAGCGACAGCTCGCGGCTGGCCGGGGCTGCAAATCACCGCAGGTAACGGGGAAGGAGCTTCCCTCCGGGGTTTGCTTTCCTGGTCCGGGCCCGGCCGTGGAAAGCCCGAAATTCTGCCTCCCGTTGGGCAAGAGCCGCGTCCGCCCCCTGCGAGCTCCCCGGGCGGGGCGGGGGGAGGCCGCTGTGGGAACCGAAACCGAAACGGAGCTCGCAGCCATCTTGCCGGGGTGACCGGTTGCCCGCAGCGGGCCCGGCGCCTCCTTCCCGGGAGGTGTTTTGCGGGTCGGGGTTTCTTTTTTCCATTTATTTTCTCACAAAATAAGGGAATTTGGCGTACAGACGGACCGAGGTAAGAGCATTTTTAAAAGAAACCCTCTTCCTGCCTGCCAGGATTTCTGTCCTGCCTTTGGCTCAGGGGTCGCCTTTAAAACGAGCTCACTAAGTAGGGGGGCAGTGGGCCCCCCCTGGAGCTGGGAAGGGGGGAACCCCCCTTGCTGCACTGAGCCTCCCCAGCACTGCACGTGGAGCCTGTGTTTATCGGAGTTGGTGAAATAAGTCATGGTGGTGGCAGCTGGGTGCAATCGGAGGCTGTAAATGAAAGCAAAATTTAAGTTGGCCTTGAGGTGTGTTTGATGAAGACAGGGAGCTTCATGAAGAGAAGACTTGCATCGGAAAAACTATCTTTATGAAGGTAGGTGGCTTAAAGAGGTCACCAGGAGGGAAGATAGGACGGGGACCTAGCAGCAGGTATCAGTTGCATGTTTTTATCCACTCAGTTTCACAATCAGCCTGTGGTCAAAGAACTGGAATATATCCTGCGCTGGGTTACTTATTTTTTTAAAAAGCGGATTAAAAGCTTAGACTTACATCTTGTACCCAGGGGGCGTGGCACAACTGTCTGTGATATGAGCGAAATTTGGGCTACGGTCCCAAAAAACTTTTCATACCATTGCCAGCTGCGCACCTATCCAATTTCTCTGCGTGTTATCGCTTTACTTCCCCTGTGGTGTGACGGTTTACCTCTACAGGTCACATAACGTCCAGGAAGCAAAGGGCATTTGGGGGTTTCAGAATTTTCTTGGCCATGAGTCTGAAAACTGTTGCAAGCCTGTTGCAGCTCTGTCCTGTGTGACCACGCGAGCTGCTTCACCTCCTCGTGCCCCCCGTTCTCTGATTGCAAAGCAGGCCTGAGATTCTTCTCTCCCTCAGGGCAGAGGAGTGAAACTCGCTTGTGTTTCAGAAGCGCAGGGTGAGCCTTCGACAAAAGGCGTCACGAAAAGACAAACCACCCCTGTGCAGCTGGCTTGAAATTCAGTCTCAACGGGAACAGAGGGCCCCTCTTATTAAAGCTGTTTCTTGTGGTTTACTTCGCCTGCGATTCCTGACTGCTGGGTTCTGCGCTGGGCAGACACAGTGTTTGCTATTTGTGTTTACGTGAATAATTTAGACTCAGTAGAAAACAGGAAAGCTTGATGAGGTGAAGATGCTTGAAATGCCTCAGGAGCAGGGAAGCAGTTTAAACTGTATTTCTGTAATCCTATAGTTGTGTAAACAGATTCTGAATTCCTGTGTTTTTCCTCCCAGCGCGTACCTGTTCAGGACGGGAGAGTGCAGAGTGAATCGCAGCTCCCCTTCTCCTGCTGTGCAAGCGACCTGATTCACACGTGTGTCCCAGCAGTGCGCTATGAACAGAGGCACTGGTCGAGGCAGAGGCTCGTATCTTACCTGGTCAAGACGTAACTGCCCCAGCATTAATCAAGGTTTTTTTAACCGCCCTCATACCCCACAAGAAACTAATCGGGAAACGTTTTTACACCAGCGGTTCCTAACAGAGCAGGACACTGAAGTCTGTTTGCTTCAGGGACAGGGATCATACCACGAATCACGCATCAGAGGGGTGCGAGCTGCGGCACCGGCTCCTGCAGAGAGATGGCAACCCAACTGCAGCAGAGCAGGATGGCATAGGTTCTCCAGCAAGCGTCCGTGGGTAGAAACTTCGCCACGGTATTGTCCTCAGTACCATCGTCAGGAGGACTCGGAGAGAGATTCTGACGCCATCAGGCTGAATTTCCAGAGGCTGTCTCTTGCTGGACAAGACTGTGAACAAGAAATTCTGACGATTTTCAGGCAGCTTGGGGAGGGGAAGACTTGTACAGTTCATGATCTTGCACGTAAACTTAAAACTCAAAAGAAAGAGGTCAACCGTGTCTTGTATAAACTCTTCCGAGAAGGCAAGTTGCACAAAGGTGGAGAGACGCCGCCACTGTGGAGGATTGCCAGCCCAAGCGTAGGGAGAGAAAGGAGCCCCACTGACCACAGCGGTGGTTGCACAAATCCAGCTTGTGAGAGCAGAGGAGGGGAGAGGAGCGCGGTTGGTTCAGGAGACGCCGATCCCATGATGGCTGAGACGAAGGACAAAATCTGCAACTATTTGTTCAGCGTGGCAGAAACGACGGCACTCAACCTTGCCAAGAACATTGGGTTTTCGAGGGCCAAGGATGTTAATGCCTTTCTTAGCGCTCTGGAAAAGCTGGGAGATGTCCACAAGCAGAACACAAGCCCCCCACGGTGGTCCCTGACAGACAGGAAGCGCGAGCGGATGCAGATGAGGCTGAAGGCCAGCGCAGTAACGCAGACGGTGGATCCCATATCCGAGTCAGGTTTTCCACCTTGCTCTGTTCCTCCATGTCCCCAGGAGATGACCATAGCTTCACCAGCAGTGACAACATCGGAAGAAGAAAGTATAGAAAACGGACAGCAGGCTTTGGGGCAAACTGATCAGAGCGACACCAGTGACACGGAAGCAGCCCTGCCTGAGGACCCTAAGCCCGAATTCTCCAGTTTGAGTAATTATGATAACTCTGAAAATGGCAAGTGGGCCACGGATGATATCCCCGATAATCTGAACACTATCAACAGGCAGCCCAGTGAGTCAGAATCCATCATGAATTCCCAGTCTTCCCCCAGTTACGCCGCCCAGTTTGAAACTGCTTTCCCATGTACGCCTGTAGAGAAGTTGATGGCTTGTCAGGAGAAGAACCCAGTGAGTGGCCTTACCGAATATTCCCAGTACATGTATCAGCACTGTGAGTTTGCCATGCTGGAGCAGAGTGGACCTTCTCATGAGCCACGGTAAGAAAATTCCCTACCTTTCCTGAGCTGTCTTTTTGCTTAAAATGATCTGACTTCAACTAACCACCCGCTCAACTTTGTCCAGAAGGATTAGCCTAGTTGATTTCTTGCAGCAGCTTAAAACAAACAAACAAAACCCCCCTCAAAACAAGGCTAAAATTAACCCCAGGTAGCCCACTTTTAGCAGCCCTGCACCTCATTCTGAGCAGCAAAGGTGGGGTTCATCTCTTCAGCTAGGTCCTGTCTGATTTAATCGCTTGGCTTTCAATTTCATTGTATAGGGAGAAACTGGTATTTCTAAGCTACCTCTCAAGATGCTCCCACCCTGGAAGTGGTATAAAGGGAGCCCAGAACAAAGTGCTTGAGTGCAGATATCTTGGGTTAGACGAGGTGAACCCACTCTGGACATTTCTGTGGTGTAGCAGGTCAGAGTGGCCTCTGTGAGCAGAGCGTGTAGCGTGACACTAGAGTTTGCAGAGTCAGTCTCTGGAGTCCTGCTTCCCCTTGCTAAATCGTGGCTGTTCCTGAGCACCAGCGAGATGGTGAAAAGCACCATATGTGCCACACTGGAATATGTCAATAGATCCGCTAGACAGGAAAATTGGCCTGATTTCTAAAGGTGGAGTCCCAGGCTTTTTTTTTTTTTCTTGTGTGGAAGGAGGGCTCTGAATGGATTCAGCCCCATAGCCCCTCTCCAAATTTGGTTTGACCCATTCTCACTGGAAGCAGGTTGCCTCTGTATAGGGCTGGAGGACAGAAGAGAAGCTGTGTTTGCTAGAGTTCACAGGGAGGAGAGAGACAGAAACATCAAAGGCAAGAGGTTTTACGTGAGGCAGCACCTCTCTGAGTTGGTGTGAATGCACTGGATAGCCAGGGAAAATGCCGGAGGGAGAGTGACCCCAAATGACCAGCTGCAGATGGAACAGTGCAGGCTGCTTTTAAGCTTTCTTCATCCCTGTGCAGGAGACATAACCGAACTGCTCCTTGCATACAGTCATGGCACGTTTCTGGCGCTTGTGGAACGAGGCAATTCATCCTGTTCCTTCAGAACAAAATCTGGAGCTGCCCCTCTGCCATGAACAGTTCTGGAAACGCGATGAAACGAGGTCCAGATGCAGAGCTGTCGGGGCACCCTTGGTATTTTTGTCCTCTGCACGTGGCAGCCTGGGTTTGCTCTCCCAGCCAGGAGCTAGCTGTTCCTTCTCACTTGAATTCCAAGAGCAGCCTTACCTGCTTGCTCTGAGAAGACCACACTTTTGCCTCTCGATTTACCTCTTTGGTTTTCTCTTTCAAAGATTTAGGTTCCAGGCAGTGATTAATGGGCGCCGATTCCCACCAGCAGAAGCAGGGAGCAAAAAACTCGCTAAACAGGAGGCAGCAGCTAACGCTATGAAGGTCCTGATGAGTGAAGCGGAGAATGGAAGACGTGGTGGAATTAAATGTGAAGAGCCGTTTCCCTCCGACAACTCTGAACCGGAATTGGTGAGAAATTGTTTTCTTTACTTGTGAGGCTGGTCAAACAGTGTTTAGTCTGAAACTGGTTTCCTCCATCTTCTTGCTGTAGCCTTTGCATCCAGAGCCAGAGCTGTCGTCTGTGCCAGCTCATCTCAACCTGCTTCCTGGGAAGCACCCTATCAGCGTATTAATGGAGTACGGACAAAAATCGGGGAACACGATTGAATTCCAGCTGCTCTCTCAGGAAGGCCCACCTCATGATCCTAGGTATGGCATATTGTTGCCAGCTTTGGGGAGGATAGAAACCCTTCCTTTAATATCCTTCCTCTTCAGCATGCTACCCGCGTTCCTGGACTCGTCACTGACCTAGCTGAGTGCTCCTCTTATCCGAGGAGGGCATGGCTCCTCCAAGACATCTGCCTCCAGAAAGAGACCAAAACCGATGCCCTTTCTCAGAGAAAGGATGCTGTTTCTTCTGCCAGACCAGGAACAGGTTCCAGTCCTGTACCCTACCTGGTAGTGCTCTACTGAGACTATTTAGGGCCGTCGTGGTAGATGTAAATTGGAGATAACCCGGAAGGATTTAACTTGAACTGGGAGAAGGGGATAATAAACAGATCGAGACACCTATGCTTAACACTTTTCATATGCTATAATGTCCTGTCAGGTTCAGCTACTGTGTGAAAATGGGTGACCAAATTTTCCCTGCTGTGGTAGGAAACAGCAAGAAGGGAGCAAAGCAAATGGCAGCAGAAGTTGCTGTGAAGATTCTTTCTGGAGAGTCTGTACCCCATGTCTTGCCTGAACAGGTACAAAGAGCTTCTTTATAAGACCCAAGTGTTTTGCGTTGGGTTCCCCCCCCCCCCCTTTTATTTCATATTCCACTGGATTTCACCCCACAAGGTCACGTGCTGGCTCTAGCAGAGGTTTGCTGAGTGCTCTTGGCCTGCGGTAATACCAGCTGCTCAGTATTTAACAGCCTTCTCCTGTCTAACTCTGCTCTAGCCTGTCGTGAAGCCCCATGGTGACCAGTCCATGCACAGCTGTGGACCATGGATCACCACTCCAGATGAATCCAAGGTGGCGAAAGCGAAGGGTGTTGGGGAGCTCATCAAATACCTTAATGTCAATCCTGTCAGTGGCCTGCTGGAATACGCCCGCTCCAATGGGTTTGCTGCAGAGTTCAAACTCATTGACCAGTCGGGACCTCCCCATGACCCCAAGTAAGTAGCTGCATCTGTCCAGGAGGAAATTTTGCACTGTTGCTGTTGTCCTGGAGAAAGGGCAGAGAATGCAAAATTCCTGATGCAGTTTGAGATGGCAACAGGCTGAGCTGCTGCCTCTGCCAAACCTTATGTCCGGACGACAATAAGTTACCTCCACTCCTCTCCTCTCTCCACTGAGAGAATTTAAAAAACAGACTGAAATCCATAGGTTTCTTGGTTTCTCAGAGGTGTGCTGCTGTCTTTATAGGTTTGTCTATCAGGCGAAGGTTGGAGGCCGTTGGTTCCCAGCTGTAACTGCACACAATAAAAAGCAGGGCAAGCAGGAGGCAGCTGATGCAGCACTCAGAGTCCTGATTGGGGAAACAGAGAAGACTGAGCGCATGGAAGGGATGAACATCACCGAGGTAAATCCTCTTCCTCCAAAGCTGGGACTGCTTTTGTAGCCCTGCCTGTCCTGTGCCTTTCAGTCCAGCAGAAAAATGCCTTCAAGATCAGCTGTGAGATCATTGTTCTCTGAAGGTGTAAATAAGCTGATGTTTTCCTGAAGTGGGTTAGATGTTTCCTCAGGGCACAGACGTACTCTTCCCTCCTGCTGGCGTCTGCTTTAGCACTAAATTATCATCAGATTCTTCCACAAGCTACTGAAATGTGTTCCTGTGGTGGAGCAGGAACATGCTCGTTTTTAGTTCTGTGACTTTTTTTTTTTTCCTCCTTCCAAATTCCTTCATGCTGCGTTAAAAATTGTGTGTCAGCTCAAAAAACTCATGCATCAGATAAGAGCAAAGCTTTGGTTGTGTCAGGATGGCTGTCCCAAACCTGTGCTGCTTTAAATCACACTTAGAGTTTTGTGATCTCTTAAAAGCCGTGTTCCAGGCTGCACAGCTGAGCACATCGACTGTGGTTCTAAATAGAAAAGCTATCAGGAAGGATCTGTCAGTCAGCAGTGCTAGAGGAGGCAAGTGCCCGTCTGCAATGGGAGTGACTGTGCAGTCTCCTCACAGACAGCCAGAGAAGGAATTCCTCCAAAGCCAGTAACAGATTTCCTTGGCTGAGTCTGTGGGAACAGGCAAGATGGGTTTTGTTCCTTTGCGATGAGGGTTTCCCCTGGCAATCTCAGGAGGCCATTCCTCAGCCCGTTTCACTTGCTGCCAGGAAGACAGCTTGCTGCTGTCTTAATGATGTGCTCAAAGCGTTGGACAGGGTTTTCCCAGAAATACCTAAAGGAACTTCACCCACCCCTTGGCATGATACTGTCCATGCACTCAACCCACCATTGCGCTGCCTGTAGCTCATGTTTTCTGTGTTCCTGCCTTCTGCTTGGATAGCTGTGCTTCAGGTTAGCTACTTCTTGAGCCTTTTTGTTCTGTGACCTGCTGGTGATCTCTTAGCAATCCTGGTCTTGTGTCCCAGTTCCAGCTCCCTGTGAGTGGCAGTACCCTACACGATCAGATGGCTATGCTGAGCCACCAGCGCTTCAACACCCTCACTGCTCGCATCCAGCACAGTCTGCTTGGGCGGAAGATCTTGGCTGCCATCATCATGCGGAAAGGAAACAAGGGCCTGGGAGTGGTGGTCAGCATCGGAACGGGTATGAACAGCTGCTTCCAGCATAAGCTGAACTCTCACTTCCCTGCTAGATTCCCTGTCAGCTGCGACTAGAGAATGGCTCTTGCTGTAGGCTTCTTCAGAGAGGGCAAGAAACGTTCCCAGGGCTCGTGTGGTGTCACAAGTGATCTGGCTATAGAGAGAGAACAAAGCGAATGTGCCTGCAGCTATATTGCTCTTAATCTTTGCTTGCATTGCTACTCCCTAGCCTGTGCATCAGAGCATGGGTTCCTCGCGTCGTACGGCACAAGATCCCCCAGCTTCTCTCAGCTGCGTGTACCTTAGCTCCCTTCCTAGTTAGCTGCCACGCTTCCACCCAGAGTGGTGGACTGAAAAGCACTCAGGAAGGGACACTGCCCCTAAACCTGAGGCAGTTTAAGTCTCTGCTGTCCCTAAAGTAGTGTGTGCTCTTTGTCCATTTATTTTCCTAACTGCTTGGATCAGGATAATGATTTAATAGTCAGGGTGCTGTTGCTGCTCAGGAACCCAAAGAAGTAAAACTTGAAGCAAGATGGAACCCTCCCTCTTTCTGTGAAGCTGTGTGTTGACTTTGACACTTGCTTTTTATTTATTTCAGGTAATCGTTGTGTGAAAGGAGAAGAGCTGAGCTTGAAGGGGGAGACGGTGAATGACTGTCATGCAGAAATCATTTCTCGAAGAGGCTTTGTGAGGTGAGACAAGGGGAAACCTGAAGGAGAAGGAAAGGGGCCTGCCAAGAGGTGCTGACCCATTCTAGAGGGGTGTAGCTGTGACGGTTCCTTGCAGTGTTGAGAAAGGCTGTGATCCTCTAACGCTACTGTTTACCCATGTGTTGTTAAATAGAGGGAAGTTATTTCTGATAAGAAAGGGCCATGCCTGAATGGTGCCCAAATTAGTACCGAACTGGAAACTTGCCAAGAGCCCAAGGGCTGCATCTGATGTACTTAAAATAAAGCATCCTGCAGAGGCTGCTTGGCCGACACGCAACGTGCTGTTTCAGTCTGAGCACAGCTCTGAGCCAAGGTGCTGGGGAATCTGCAGGCCAGGTCCCCGTGTGGCTTTTCTGGGTCTGGGTGTCGAAGGCTTCAGGAAAACATATCGAATGTGTTTGCACTGATAAGTCAGAAATCCTTTTTCATTGGTTGGAAAGGGTTTTCCCAACTAAACCGCACAATTGTTCTCTTCTCTTTATAAACACGCAGTGTGGTGCTTTTTTTTTTTTTTTAAACTAAAGTGAGATGAAGTTGGACTAGCCTTGTTAATGTCTGCCCTTCCAGTTATGAACAGCAAAGCCAGCTGCTTTCTTAAAGCCTTTGCCTGCTGCCACTATACTCTGTGCATTCCTCGGCACTGGAAAGCGTTGAGGGTGGGTCCCCGGCAAGCTGTAAAGTCAGAGGATTGCACTCTTGCTTACTGTCTGTCTCGGCTGTTAATCTTGACAGTCGTGGCTGCTGGGCTGCTCTGGCACAGCGGAGCCTGTCAGAGATGAGAACAGTGAGCTCCACCTCTCCTTGCAAAATAAGTCCCTGCACAGGCTCTGCTTGAGGAGTCTCTGTGAAGCTGCAGTTTTTCTTTAGTCCTTGACGCTATGTTGGAGACCTCAAGGTTTTTCCCTGTCCCCGGACAGAAGCAGCCATAAAAGACCCAGTCATTGTAAACAGATCGTGGGGTTGTGCTAATAATATCACTTGCATTCAGCTGCCCCTGGGGCTGTTTACTCTTAATGCAAACTTGGTGCTGACTAAAGGTGCTAGACTAACAACCTTGAAGTCGTCTTCACGCTTGGATCAGGTGCACGCAAGCAGCAGCCAGCCAGGCTCCTTTCTCTCTCCTGCCAGTGCTCCCCTCTGCTCGCCCGACAGAATGCTTATTTTCTGTTGCCTGTCCTCTGCATGGTAGGAGATCTGCCTCATTTCATGCCTTTTCTGTAGCATCAAACGCTATTTGTTGGCTTCCACGTATTCTCAGCCACGCTCCTGGTCTTCGCTCTCCCACGTGGCAGGACCAGGAGCAGGTGACTTGGTGCGACAGAGGCAGAGCTTGGGACCCTGCCCGTCCTGGGTATGGGCAGTGGTTGGATTGAAGTGCTCCTTGTCTGAGGAGCAAAGCAGTCTTTTGACATGATGTTTTATTTTCAGGTTTCTCTACAGTGAGTTGATGAAGTATGACCCATCTAATCCTTCCTCTGCAGAAGAGAGCATTTTTGAGCCAGCGGGAGGGAAGAGACTCAAAATTAAGAGCAGTGTTACCTTTCACCTCTATGTCAGGTTTGTGCGGCATTGTGCAGGGAGTGCCCGGTGTCAGCAGCACTATCGCACCCCTGGCCCTGGCTGTTTCCTGAGAGTCAGTGCTAACCTGGGGAGTGTTTGTTTTCTAGCACAGCACCTTGTGGAGACGGGGCGCTCTTTGATAAATCCTGCAGCGATCAGGCGAGTGTGGTGGGGCAAGCCCAGCATCAGCCTCTCTTTGAGAACCCCAAACAAGGCAAACTGCGGACCAAGGTGGAGAACGGTGAGTGTGTTCACTCCCTGCACGGTGGGGTGGCTCCAGTCCACTCCTCTAAGCCTTTCTGGAGCTCCAGAGTTTCCTTACCCCTCTCTGTGGGGTGCTGTTGCGGGATTTGAAGCATTCAGGAACAAAAAGGGGTGGGTAAAAGGGATGGGGGCGTTAAAGGGAGTCCCTTCTCCTTCCGCACTCTGTCTGTTGGACTGCCACACTAGCAAGAGTACAGCTGAAGTTTGCTGCAAAGCTTTTATGTCTCTGACCTCCCTTTCAAGCACTATTTCATTCTGCTTCAGCCATGTGAAAAATGACTTGTCTGTAATCAGTACTGAGTTCCCTTTTTCATGTGATACTAAAATGTTCCCCGAACGTGGAGACAGGCTGACTCCAGAGGTCACTCCATGCCTGTGCATAGAAGATAGTTTCTTGTGCGGTTGCTGATGGGCTTTTGATTTATTGAATATCTGACTCTTTACAGATTTCTTCTTCTCTTGTGCAGGGGAAGGTACCATTCCTGTGGAGTCGAGTGACATTGTGCCCACGTGGGATGGCATCCAGCATGGGGAGCGGTTGCGAACCATGTCCTGCAGCGACAAAATCTTACGCTGGAATATACTTGGCTTGCAAGGGGCATTGCTGTCACACTTCATAGAACCGGTTTATCTCAGCTCTGTTACACTCGGTATGAGACCTGCCGTCCTTTCTGGATTGGGACGGATGTGCTGCCCCGCTCCTTAGAACTGGGCTGCAGTTACTGACAAGTAACCTCCCTTCCCCAAGTGATGGAAAAGCTTGTTTGTGGAGCCTGTAGGAGTAACAGACTGAAACGTCGTTCTCGGCAGAGCTGTGCTGTTTGGAAGTGAAAAGGGAGTTTGTGGATTTTACGCTGTGGGTGGAGTGGGTTTTTCTCCAAGGTTCTTGATTTTTAGAAGGCACATGTGATCTAGGAGGGTGAGACAAAAATTGCCTGTTTGTGTCTTCAGTGAGAAATGTTAGTGTCTGTAAACCTTCATCTTACACATCTAGGGTACACGTAGCTGTTGCTGATCCACATGGCCGCGAGCTTTCTAGAGCTTGTGAGAACCGCTGTGGTTCTCGGGGTTTGGCCTGTCCATCACCTGTGCTGTTCCTGTTTCCTAACGCCTTCATGTCTGCCTTCACAGGTTACTTGTACAGTCAGGGTCATTTAACACGCGCAATCTGCTGCCGCGTGGCAAGAGATGGGAATGTGCTGCAGGAAAAGCTCCAGGCTCCGTATCACGTTAACCATCCCGAGGTACTGTGGGCTTGGCACCTCTTCATCTTTCTGTCCCCCCTTCCACCTCCACCCTTGGGTTCGGGCCTCACTCTGCAGGGGGGTCACCTGGCAGAAGCTCTCCAACCAGGGTCAGGAGGCTGATGGCCAGAAACCTGCTCCCTCTGTGTCATCCCACGGTGTCTGGGGGTTACTGGCAATGACTTGGTCTGGGAAAAAAGAGACCAAGGTCGCCCCAGTAGCCTTCAGCTCAGTAAGAAGCTAGTGCTTAAGAGTAAGGAGTAAGAACTCCTGCTCTCAGGAGTTTGGGATGAGCTGAACCCCTGCATCCGGGGGACGGAAGCTCCTTGGGTTTCACATGTCCCAGATAAGATCAGACGTAGCGTGACTGCCTCTCGAAAGGAACAGCAGCAGCAGTGAGGGACCTTGAGTGTTTTAACACGCAAAGCACCAAGCGTCTGGAGTGGAAAGTAAACACTAGGCTCTGCCACAGGCGAGCGCGGGGTGGTGAGTGCCGTGTGCCTAGTCCCCTGGCAAGAGGCTCCCCTTACCAGCAAGCTTGCACAGCAGGACCGGTGTTACGAAACCCTCTTGCCTCTTACGCAGGTTGGGCGAGTCAGCGTATACGACTCTGCAAGGCAGACGGGCAAGACAAAGGAGTCTTCGGTGAATTGGTGTCTTGCTGATGAAAGCGAAGTTGAAGTCTTGGATGGCACAAAAGGGAAAGTAGATGGGTAAGAAGAGCCTTTCCTGACGCTGCTTTTCTGTTTGGGGAAAGGGGGGGCAGCTCTGAAGTCGTGAGTACACTCTGCGCCGTTACGGCACCTTACGTGTGGGGAGGGTTGGTGAGAGGAATTTCAAACTGACGTAAGTGAATGCTCTTGAAGCAAAACAAAATACTGCCCAGCCCAGACTCTACAACAGAGCCTCGCTGAGCCAAGAGATCTCGCAGGCATCCCGTTGTGGGTTTTTCCCTGTGCCCCCTGCTCCTCTTTGCTCTTCTGAGTGTCATGTCCTTCATTGCTGCCTTTGTCTCCCTTCTCAGACCGAAGCTGGAGGTGTCTCGTGTGTCCAAGAGGAAAATGTTCGCCCTGTTCCAGCAGTTATGTGCCAAGAACAACTGCAAAGACCTGCAGAACCTCTCTGTGTACTCAGATGCTAAGGAGGCAGCCACGGCATACCAAGAAGCCAAGCAGTGCTTCTTCAGCGTGCTGGAAGAGATGGGCTACGGCAGCTGGATCCGCAAACCCCAAGAGGAAGATAATTTCTCTTTCCCTGATGCATAATGAGGCGCCCCGTGTGGGTGAGTGCACAGGTGTGTGCACGGGTGTACGCGTCCTTCTTTCACCACCTTCTTTTTGAATTGGAATCAGGAGCGTGCAGCAGTTTCCCCTGTAGGCCTGGCTGCCTTCTCTCTCTGCTCTTGTTACTCTGAGACCCTGCCCTTTCTCTTTTTAAAACATGCATGAAAATTATTGTCTTTTTTTGAAGCTAGGGCAGGCTCAGTCCCTGTTTGCTTTTACGTTTTCGTCTCCTTTTTTTAAAAGAAGGCACAAGAAGCCAGAGGGATTCTCAGACTGCGAGCTTGAAACCTTTGGACTGTGCACTACAGATCCCTCTGGCAGGTTTTGAGGCAAATTTTCTCTTTTGAGAAAAAAAAAAAAAAAGCGGGGTGGCTGTGTTTATGTGTCTCTGTCAGAAGGTGGCTGGCAGCCCGTCTGAGCTGGGACACGGGACTGATCTCTGCAAGACAGCCAGCAGGACCAGCGTAACATTCCGCGTTAATAATAAAAAAGAAAATTTCTGTATTACAGCGGGCTCTGTGCCATGGGTATGTGAATTCCTGCAGGGTGAAAGAGGGGCCCTGGGTAGAGCCGGGCAGGGTTTGGAGAAGAACGGAGGTAAGTTACTGTTTGTTAAATGATGAAGGATCTTGTGCACAACTGTGCCAGCTGTGAATTAAGCCTCTTGCCTTAAGCAGGGGCTCATCGGGCAGAATTGAGCCCTCAGAGGGCTTGAGTGTACCCTGAAATGACGGGGCAGGGTTTTCTTGGCTCCTTACCCCCATATAGAGCCAGAGGTGGGGGATCTCCTCTCCAGTCTTGGAAGGTCACTGCGGAGGCTGGTGGTGGCTGCAGGCCATGTTGCGTGTCTGCTTATGTCTGAGCTCAACCACGTGCCAGACACGCTTGTAGAAGGTGAGAAGTAAGGACGCTGTTCCCATCCAACAGCAAGTTTATTAGATGTTGTAGAGCAGCCCCTTTCCCAATGCACAGCTTGTGCTGGCTTTGCCTGGGACGGGAGAGTTGACACCAGTGAGATCAGACAAAGAGACCACGAAGCAGTTGGCGTGGAAGCATAGCCCAAACCGAAGAGGACAAGTCCCGAGGCTGTGGGGAGCAAGGCCCCGGCTCTGGCTGTGCCTCAGGCTTGTGCATCTTTCCCTGCGCAGCAGGAAAGGATGCCGGTGGGCGGACGTGCTGTGGCCAAGCAGGTTAAGTGCTTGCTGAAAGGCTGGCTGTAAGGGGCTCACCCTGCCCACAGCTGCTGGGACGGTGCTCGGGTGCTGACTGCAGTGCAGAGCTGTGAAGGGTGGCAACAGCCTCGGCATCCTGCTGTCCCCTGCGCGGTGGAGCAGGGCCCTCGTGGCAGCGACGGCACAAGGACAGAGCTGGGGGCTCCTCCGTCTGCCGTAGTCCCCCCCATCATGCTGCCGACTGCTCGGGGTGCTGTGCCTGGGGCTATAGGGGTTCCCGCCGTGCTCCCCGCACCCTCCTGCTCTCCCGGGACTCGTGGGTCTCCGCTCCCTGCCAGGCCACAGCAGGCCCCCCAGTCCTGCACTTGCCCAGGGCTGCAACCGACAGCGGAGGAGATGCAGAGGTGGGACAAAGTGGGACAAGCCCCTGGCATGGGGCAGGCGGGATGCTGCTTTAGGGGCAAAGCTCTTAATATTTAAATATTGGGGTGCACCCCTGAGAGGAGGGGGTCCAGGAGCATCAGCTGGAGCAGCCCGGGATTTCTCTGGCTGGGTGAAGTGCTGGGATTTAAATTAATTTCTAGTGTGCGGCTTCCCCCGGCACTGTGCGCCGTGGGCCCCCACCTGTGCTGCGCTCCCCCCAGCATGGAGGATTAGTGGTATTTATAGCAAATGCTCCATTTCAATTTTCCCCGATGAGGCCAATTCCTGCCTGCGAGGGAGAGCGTGGGAAGTGCTGCCGCCACTACCGGACTGGCCAGGGTTGCCTGCCCAGCACGCCGGCTCCCCTGTGCGGCCCACAGTGGAGACCTGGCTGCCGGCTGCTCCAGGCTCCAGTTGCGATTGATTTGTGTTTTCCTTTTCCTCGCACAATTCATCTCATGGCTGCTCTTGGCTCCAGTGCACCAAGCCTGGAGTTTAGCAGGGGACGGTGGCACTGCCGGAGCGTGGAGCAGCCCCTGGCACTCGCTGCCCTGGCCCTGCCTGCAGGTAGGACCTAAAAATAGCATCCTCCTGCCTGGCACATGCGCTCACCTCGAGGAGCCGGAGCAGAGCAGCCCCGTCCTCCTCCCCGTGCCTCCGGTCCTGCTGTGTCAGTGCGGCACGGCTCTGCCCTGCCCCTGGGAGCCCCAGGATAGCACAGGGGTCCAGCAGGGGCTGGGGGCTGCCTGCAGGTGCACTGGCCCCTGGCCCCGCATGGTTGCATTGGTGGGAAGAGATGGGGTGAGCAGCCGGTGCTCCTGGAAGCGTGGGAGGGAGCCCAGCACATCCCTGCGGGGCCGGTTTCACGCCACCGCGCTCCCTCCCTGGGGAACTGGGATTTTCTTCTTCCAGAGCCAATTCCTCCCCATCTTGGTGGGGGGGACCCCGCAGGCCCCCCCCCCCCCCCCCCCAGACCTGGCTGCATCCTGCTTCCTCCTGCCCACGGGGAGCGGTGCGGGATGAAACGACACTAAAACGAACCAGCCCCCTCCTGTGTGAGTATTTATTGGTTTGCAGTGGCCGCCTGGAGCCCAGCACCTGGCTCTCCGGCCCCAGCTCGGCGGTGGGGAGAGGGTGCGGAGCCTGCAGTCCCTCGCTGTCCCTGGGGCCGGCGGGGAGGGCGGACGGGCGGCCACCCTGGCGCTATTTGGAGGTGGGGGTGCCCTGGCCAAGCTCCAGCAGGGAGTTGGTGGCGTAGTTCTGGAAGAGGGGCTGGAGGAACATGCCGACGGTGCCGAAGACGCAGACGAAGACGAAGATCCACAAGAAGAGGCGGTCGATGACCATGGCCACGTACTTCCAGTCCTCGCTCACCTGCGTGGGGCCGGGAGAGATGCCGGGTCAGGCCGGGGCCTCCGGCATCACTCGGCACTGCCTGTGCCACTCCTGGCAGGCGGCTGGACTGGGAGCTCGGCGGCTCTGCAGAGCCCCAAATCTGCTCCCTCAGCACTGCAGCTCCCAGGGCTGCCTGCCAGCCCACCATGGGCCCCACGGGGCTCGGTCCCCCTGCTGCCGCCTGCGCTGCCAAGCCCGGGAAACTCATCTCCCCAGTGAGCTGAGCTGGGCGGGGGGCAGTGTCCCCTGGCCCTGCAGTCCAATCCGGGGCTGGCTCCGCCAAAATCTGCAGCCTCACGGTGCCACGCAGGGTCAGGCCCCCCGGGAGCCTCTTGGGTTTCCAGAGCAACTGCTTCAGGCTGGGGCTGCAGTGGTGGGTCAGGGGCCAGGCCTGGGCCTCCTGCCTGGGCAGGGGCTGCGGGGGGTCCCCGGACATGGGGCCGGGCAGGGACCCTCTTGGTGCTCATGCATGTCCCTTCCTGCGGTGCAGCCGTGCACACGTTCTGCACCCCACGACCATGCATGCACACGCCCCCGGCCCTGCCTGTACCCTACAGCCCTGCCTGCATCCTGCGGCCCTGCCTATGCTCCGCAGCTCTGCCTGTACCCCACAGCTCTGCATGCACCCCACATCCCCTGCCCGCCCTGACTCACGCTCTGGTCGTCGTCCTCGCTGCGCATGTGGTCGGCGATGAAGCGCACGCCATCCACAAATTGGGGGGGGTGCGGGGGGGGGGCGGGGGCGCCTGCCCCTGCCGCTCCCGGTAGCCATTGAGCCCCTCAGCCTTGGCAGCACCGGGGTTGGCATAGCAGGCGCAGGTGCGGGTGCCGGCCCGGAGGAAGAGGGTGGCGGTAGCAGTGCGCTCCTGGGTGTGCCGGCGCTGGCGCAGGCGCTGGCGCGCGCAGTTCTGCCGCGGCTGCTTCATGAAAAGCAGCGCCGGGAGCTTGTGGAGGAAGAGGGTGCGGACCCAGGGCGGCATGGTGTGCGTGGTGGGCGAGCGGTGGTGCACGTTGAGGACGCAGACACTGGTGACGATGGAGAAGGTCACCAGCACCATGGTGAACATGAGGTACTTGCCCACCAGTGGCACATCCAGCGAGGTGGGCGGCACGATCTTGGAGATGAGCAGCAGGAAGACGGTGAGGGCGAGCAGGACAGAGATACAGAGCGTCATCTTCTCGCCGCAGTCGGATGGCAGGTAGAAGACAAGGATGGCCAGGGAGGTGATGAGGATGCAGGGGATGATGAGGTTGATGGTATAGAAGAGTGGCTTGCGCCGGATGATGAAGTCGTAGGTGATGTCCACATAGGTGGAGTCGTCAGGGTTCTCATTGCGCCGTCCCGGGAGTGCCACGATGTCCCACTCGCCGCTGGGCGTGAAGTCATCCAGGCTGGCCACCTCGCTCTTCAGCACCAGGTCGATCTCAGTGCGGTCGTAGGTCCAGGAGCGGAACTTCATGGTGCAGTTCTGCTGGTCGAAGGGGAAATGCTTCACCTCAATCTTGCACGCGCTCTTGTAGATGGCCGGCGGCAGCCAGAAGATGCTGCCATCGTAGGAGATCACCGCGTTGGAGTAGAAGGAGACCTCGTACATCCCATCGGCACTGGGGTGAAGGGATGCGCCGTCAGCCCTGGCCTTGCCCCAGCGGTGCAATGGCACCGCCCCGAGCCCTGGATGGGGTTGGGGCACGCATGGCCCCCACCCCACAAAAAAACACCTACTTGTTGTAGAGCACCACATCAGGCAGCCAGATGTGCTTGGAGGGCAGGCGGACCTTCTTCATGTTGTCAAAGTCCTCTGGCTTCCAGGTGAGGCGGTAGTCCTCCCACTCCTGTGGACGGGCAGGCTCAGCCCAGCCCGGCCGTGGGCAGAGGGAGCCCGGGG